TTTTGTTTGATAAAAATATATTTGTTATATGTAAATACTTATATGTATATATGTATTCGTGACTATAAATAAAAAATGTTGTTGTAATTCATTGGTTGGACTCTTGTGTTGTTGCTTGGCCGATCATTGCCAGATACCTGCCCTAGAGACAACAACCGAATTCCACAGATTTTTCTTGGAATCGCTTCTCCTACATAGAGATAGGTTGGTGTTCTCCCCCCGGGACCTGGAATAGAGACTTTGGGCGTCTGGGCAAAATAGAACCTGGGCACTGCGCCGCTGAACGCAACATTTGGCATCCCAGCTGGGACTGAAGGAAAAAGCCTAGCCTATATTTGAAACCTTTTTTTGGCCCTCCGCTCTTTCAAGGTATTTTACAGAATTTCAACCATCTATAAACCTTTTGTGAACCCTTTTCTTCCAAAAGTAATTAAAGTAAATAAACAATACCCTATTTATTTATTTATAAATTAAATAAATAATTCAAAGAATTTATTGGTGAAATATATTTTTTTAATGAGTCAAATAATATTTTAAATGGACAGAAAATTGATTATTTAGGTCACATCTATTCGAAAATTATCGGATTGCAACAGGCTATTATTCTAAACAAAAAAATGAGAAAATAAACATTCAAATTCATTTATTAGGTGATGAAGCAGATGTTATATTTCTATCATTTTGACTTGCAGGAGTCGATGCTTTAAAATATAATGCAGTCAATTAATCGTTTTTCTTTAATTAAAGTATAAACATATATTCCACACACTTCAAAATAAAATTATATACTCTTTATCATCCTCGCTTAAAATAAAATAAAAACCTTAACAAAACTAAGTCTTACATTACAACTTATAAAAATAGCATTAAAAAAGTGCCGTGACCAGGATTTGAACCTGGGTTATTGCGGCCACAACGCAATGTCCTAACCACTAGACGAACACGGCAGGTGACAACTGGACACTTACAGGGCTACTTGAGGAGAGTAATAAGGTCACATGAGGTAGGGCGACATTGCAGTAATCTTCCTATTTTTAACCTTCACATTGTCCATTGTAAGTCAATTGTTTCCTGTGTGTACTCTAGAAAATGAACATTGCGCGAGGAAAAAATATTTAAAATCTATTTAGAAGTGCAATATTTTTCTGTGAACTATAAGAACGATGTAAAAATAGCCCTTCTGTATCACTTGACCATATTCTTTCTCTCAAGTAACCCTGTAAGGTTGGAAATAAGAAGATTGCCGCAATGTCTTTCTACACGAAGTGACCATATTCCTTCCCTCAAGTAGTTCTATAAGTGTCCAGTTGTCACCTGCCGTGATTGTCTAGTGGTTAGGACATTTCGTTGTGGCCGCAATAACCCAGGTTCGAATCCTGGTCATGGCACTTTTTTATAATTATGAATTTTGTTTTTGTTTTGACGAAAAATTCAACCTTGAGAACTATTAATGTCAACAATGTATAGTATATCCACAAATGAGTTTAACAATTAATTATTCTTCTTGTTGTTTTTCTACTTGTGTGTGTGGGTTTGTTCACTGATATTTCCTTTAAATATGTTCTACCCTTTTGTCCATTGCTGAATTGATATTTTCGTTATTATTTATTATATTGGAAGAGACTGACGGATTTAATATTTCTAATGTGGAATGTCATTATTCATATCAGAAAGAAAATATTTTTTTCTCCTGTTGACTATTCCTTGTTGATAAAATTCTTGTAATTTTTATGTTTTGATTGAAATTATTTTTCAAAATATTGAAAAAATTAACACAAACTAATAACGCGCCATCTATATGCCTAAAATGTAGGTATTTAAGCACGAAGGTTTCTAATAAAAGAAGCATTCATGCTTAAATTCTTCCATTTTATATTTTAAAAATCACTAAATTTTAAATTATTTAACTTGTAACCTAATCCATTTTATTGAATAATTAGTCACACGTTTTTGCAAATATTTAAAAGCGTCATATTTGCATAAATTTGTGACAGCGAAAAATTGGAAGGGATTTCAATTATTCTAAAATTAAAAGGAAACAAAACCAATTTAAAGTCAATATTTAATGGATTTTGTGGAGGGATTCAAAACACGTCCACGCACAATACAGCCAATTTTCGATATTTTATAAACTATGATTGATATTTTATTATTTTGAGTGTATAACTGTTAGTGAATCATATTTTATAAAATATTTCACACACTTCAAAAATATATAATCATTGCTTTCTTTCTTGAAATAAAGCAGATTCACACAAAATTAAGCCTCACTTTACAAAATATATATATATTTTTTCAAAATAGGAGTTTTGGTTAACTACACTTTTTTCCAGCGTCAAAAAAGCTGTTTAAATGCTTATTCAAAGTCAATTTTTCTAAACTTGTTTTAACGTCATTTTAAGTTTTGGAAAAAATAAGAAATCACATGGGGCGATATTAGGAGAGTAAGAAGGATTCGGCAAGACAGATACAGATTGTTTGGCTAAATAGTCTTGAACAATAATAGCTCTATGAGCAGGGGCATTATCATGTAGCAATTTTCTCTGTTTTGATTTAAAGAGTTGGTTTCTTTTTCTTCTTATCGCATCACGAAGGCGCACAAATATTTCTTTGTATGTCTGTTTATTAAGGGTAACCCCCTCGTTAATAAATTCATAATAGAAAGGTCCTTTATAATCGAAAAACACTTTAAGCATTACTTTTCCTTTGGACTTGTCATGACGAACTTTCTTCTTCCTAGGAGAACTTGGTATGTTCCATTTGAGTGAATTCTTTTTTGGTTGGTGGATCAAAAAGAAAGCTCCATGTTTCATCACCAAAATCAGAATCAATTTTTGCAGTTTCAATTAAATCTTTGAAAATTTATTATCTGGTTTCTTTTTGTAGACCTGTTAAATTTCGTGAAACAAAATAACCACAAAGTTTTTTCATATTTAAATGTTCACCAATATTTTTTTGGAAACTACCATACGAATATTCAAGTATTTCTGAAATATTATCTATAGTAATTTTTCTATCAGCAACAATTAAATCACGTACCTGTCCAATATTGCGATCCGTTGTTGACGTTAAAGGCCGACCTAACCTTGAATTATCTGCGATGCTCTTACGCCCATCTTTAAAACGTTTATACCAGAAATAAACTTGCGTTCGTGACAATTTTTCGTCTTCATAAGCTTCATTTATTAATTCTAATGTCTTGGTGAAAGGCCTTTTCAATTTTACACAACATTTAATATTTGCCCTTTGTTCAAATAATGACATTGCAGAAACCGACGCGAGCTAAATACTTACAACAAAAATATGCCTAAAATGAAAACTATGCATGCGCATTTACTCTCTCTGGCGTTTCTATATTAAATTATAGTTTAGGCTTTGTTTTTTACAGTAAAATTGGTTTTACATTTTTCAAAAGTTGTTTCATATTTAATTTTTTTAAAGTTCGGGACCTTTTTGATCCTACTGTTTATTCTAAAAAAAAAAATATTTTCCATAATTTTATGTACACGCGCAAGAAATACGTGCACCTGGTTATAATTTTTTTCGCTTTTTAATAGGCATGTAGATTTTTCACTAAATATATTCTTTTTTATTAGGCGAATACGGGAACATTTAGATACTTTGTATTATATATATATTTTTTTTATGGTTAACTGTAGCAGTAAAACTATTTTCGAATGTTGAACAATATACTATGTGTGAAGTCCTTGTATAATATAACCCTTCTATTTAATACATATGCTATTGCATAAAGAGAATATCAGTATGTTTATTTCAAATAAAACATCTGAGTTAATTATCTGCATTTACATTTTTACTAATATTCTATTGTATACTTATTTCGAATCCGAGTCCGTTAGTTTGGGTAGATGATCAATAGATGGCACTGAGTTAAGGATTAATTTTTATGTTAGAGGTGACCTTTCTTGTTATAGACCAAAATTATGAAAAATACTTATTTGTAAAATCAAAGGTGATTTTAATGAATGTAAATGATAAGAATGAAAACTTTTAAAATTAAAGGAATGTATCATTAATCACTCTAATAAGAGCCTTGTTATGTTACTATAGAAGATTTTAAATTACTTTGATCGATGTATATTATAAATATTTAACACAATCCCTCTTATTATCTTCTTATTACTGTAATGATAAAAGTTGAGGAGGGCTTTGTTTATGAGTGATGAAACCTCCAAGTGGTGTCGCCAGGTCTATGATTTCCATTTTATGCGCCCACTTCTATAACACATATATGTAAGGATCGGAGTGTATTCTGTCGACTCTCTGTAGGATTGTGTCTATCCTGTCGACTCTCTGTAGCAATCCTGTCTATCCTCTGTCGAATTGGGTGGTTGACCTGTCGAGTTGGGATCGTGGTGTCGTCTTGGGGTGTTGACTTACTGTGGGATTGCTGTGGACTCACTGTAGAATCCTGTCGAGTCCTGTTGAATCCTGGTGAATTTGTGTGGTTAGGTGGATTTGATTGGATTGGTGATTGATGGCGCAGTCTTGGTCGAATAGTGGTTTTCAACAGGGGAAGAACGAGCAACCCTGGATGGGGTAGAAATAAGACCTTGCGAAAGGGAGAATGATGAGACTGACTGGAGGTATTTGCCTTTCACATGATGGAGCGGACACTACCTTGGTTGAAGCCTATGTTGAGCATACCTAGCTCGTAGCACGGTCACCTACCTTTCTTTTTTTACTTCTTGTCCAAGATCATCGTCATTAACTCTCTCGACTTCTCATTGGTGGAGATCCTTCCACGTGATCTCTAATGATTCGCTATCAATTGGGTATGCTTAAAGGTGATTGGTTGTTGATTTGTCATGCTTAAATGTAATTGGCTTAGTACCTCCATTGTCGCCATGATTGCAATTCTCCAGGAAGAAGAAGGTCTTCTTAAATAAAATATGTAATATTTGATTATCCGATTAAATTAAAACACCTTCACAGAGTAGAGTCTTTACAAGTTAAAAAATACTCCAAAGAAAAAAAGGTACCGTGACCAGGATTCGAACCTTGGTTATTGTGTCCACAACGCAATGTCCTATTCACTAAATGATCAGGGCAGGTGACAACTGGACATTTACTGGGTTACTTGAGGGGAAGAAATTGGTCACGTGATCTAGAGCAACATTGCAGCAATATTCCTATTTCCAATCTTTACTATGTCCAATGTAAGTAAATTGTTTCCTGTATGCACTCATGGAAATAATCATTGAGGAAAAGGTATTTTAAAAGCTGTTTAGAAGCTCAATTTTTCTTCAGTAAAATAAACTACTAGAAAGCGAAGACAAATGGCTACTTTGTGTCACGTGATCAGTCTTACTCTGAAGTAGTCCTATGAGTGTCCAGTTGTTATCTGCTGTGATCGTCTAGTGGTTAGAACATTGCGTTGTAGCCGCAATAACCCGGGTTCGAATCCTGGTCACGGCACTTTTTTTTTTACAAATATCTTTTTAAAATTTTGATAAAATAATTTACTTTGGGAAAGTGAAAAATTTCCAAAATAAAAAACGAAAACAATTTATTTGAAAATTAATAATATATAATTTACTACAGCCAGCCAATTAAAATACAATACCCTAGGTGTAAGCTATTTAAAAATATCATAAGTGCAAATTGAATGAAATTGCTGCTTTTCGACCCTTATGAAAATCATTGTTATTATGTGATCCAATGGTGTAATAGAAATAAATTAACGATCAGTACAGAGAAAACTAATATGCTTTACCTACATAACAGACAAAAATACCTATTAAGGTTAATAACAATATAATAATGCTGGTCAAGCAAGTAAAAATTCTGGGAATGAAATTTTCAAATCATAAATGGAAAAACAAAGTTAACTTTACACCGCATGTTAATGATATTCTGTGTAAGGCAGGACGTATGAAAAATTTATTATGTTCACTAAATGGCAATATGTGGGGTTTAGATACTAAAAAGAGGTTAACTTTATTTAAAACAATCATTAGGCCTGTACTTACATACGGTTCTGAAATTTGGTTCAAATATTTGAACAATCGTTGTAAACAAAAACTGAACTCCATGCAGTACCAGATCATTTTATGGGCAGTTAGAGCATACAAAACCACTTCATCAAACTGTGTAAATAGCTTGGCAAAAATTCCACTCCTAACAGACTATATAGAATCCAGAATTATCAAATTTGTCTAGCTCAACTGTCCATTGAAGATCTAATTACTTACGAACCCCGTGCTCCAAGTATAGTCAAATCATTCTTACACGCAAAAATGAATGAAATTTTTGATAATTATAATGAAACATTCAGAAGCTTTTTCGTATTTGGAATTCCAAGATTTTTCCGTCCAAATTTTTATAATATCCAATTCATTACAGATCATGGCAATTTTGGGGAATTTTTGGCAACTATCGGCGCGGTGAAGGAACCAGGATGCTTCTGCGGAGGTGAAATTCAAGACGCGAGACATCTACTTCTGGAGTGCCCAATTTTCCGGGATTTTAGGGAAAATAGATTTGGTCGTATTGGACAGCTTGATGAATTTGTAGACAAACAAGAAAAGTATAAAATTTTGATCAATTTTGTAAATACATATACAACTTTCTCTTGAATTGGAAAAAAGAGAGAGAGAGAGAGAGACAATTGACAATTCACATAATGTCAATTGTCAATACAATTTTAAAGTGAAAATATCCGCACAAATCAGGGGAAAAAAATTAACAAAAGTTTAAAAAAAAACATCAAAATTAAATATATATGTACATCAGACAGAACCCTCAATGAAGGGACGTCTGGAATTAAGCTTCACAAGCCACCTTAAAATCGGATAGCTTCTGCGTTATGTAGTGGTCAGTGTCCCCAATACTCGCTATTGCACGGTCGAGGAGCTCCGCGAGAATGATCTTTTCCTCGGGCGTAAGGCTGACCAGGACATCCTCCCTAGTTTCGCTGCTAAATACCGCCCAAGCTGCCGTCTCTGTCTCATAATCCAGGGGACGCAGGACTGAGCGAGAGTCCAGTTTATAAAAAAGCTCTTCGACCATATCCAAAGCGTACTGGGGAATGCTGGTGGAGGGTGCAGTCTCGGGTGTTTTGTCCTTATGGACTGTTGGTATGAGGGTCCTCTGCACCGGGGCAGCCTCTGGCGCAGGGCGGTCGGATACTGCAGGTGGAGGTGCAGCTGTAGTGATGGTGGGAGCAGGAGCAGGGATGTTTACGCTGCTCTTCTGACTTGAGGCCGAAGAAGGCGGTTGTAGTGGCGTCAACCGGTTGGCGTTGGGCGCTGAAGCAGAAGGTTCAGTGACCGGAGTCACCTGGGGAGGGTTAGAAAGGTTCGCCACAGGCAATGATGTGGCAGGGCTAGAAGGTCCCGAAGGGGTCTGCCTAGTGGTGTCAGGACCCAGTGCAGCCGATGTAGGCGCTGCGGATTTTTGCAAGGACTTGGGCTGGGAGGATAGAATTGTCGACAGCAGTCCATTCTGGTTGTCCTGAAGATGAGCTGGACGACTCTGGGGGGTTCCCAAGGGGCAGATGGCTCGCCGATGTCCCTGGCGGTGACATTTGCTATACCTTACGCCGTAGGTGATGTAGGCGGGGTGTGGATTCTCTCTTGGAGATAATCACCAGTTTGGCAGGGAGTTGGTGGAGTTTCCGTCCTTCGTTCAGAAGGACGAAGGCTTCCCTGCTGCCCGTGGTCCAGGTGTAACCTTCGCAGGTTACTACTTCGTAGGCCATCGAGGCCACTTTGCAGTAAAGCCTTAGCGCCGCAACGATGTCCTCATCTTTTACGGCGATAGGAAGGTTGCCTATAGTGATCTTTTCGGCCTTCTTCCTGTAAGGGAAGGCTCTTAGGAGTGTGCTGCCGATGGTAAGGCCCTCCTCGATTAGGCGTTCGACCTTCTCAGTGCTGGAAAGTGTCACCAGAACATGGCCGGACATCTTCATGAGCTGGTAAACTGAAGATTTTCCCATCCTCTGTTCCAGCGCTTTCATGTACTGGACTTGGTGGAATACGGGCACCATTCGATGAAGCAACCCTGATCAAATGTTGCCGCTGCCGACCTCGCTTTAGCTAGTTCTTGTTGCTGTCTGCTACTCTTAATTTGCGTGACAGTATCTTTTCTTTCCTGCCTCGGTTGTAGTGATGGCCTGGCTGCGATGGCTTCAGCCTTTGCCATTTTTGTTAGCTGGGTCGGAGATTCCTGGCCTTTTCTTTTGTTGGATTTAGGAAATTTCCAATCCGATTCCAAAGCAGATTGCTTCTCCGAAGCTTCCACTCTTTCCGCACAATTTGCATAGGCTTGTTTTTTTTCCGCGGCCTGATTTACATAGTCGCCGTTTGTTTGCTTGATTAAAAATGTATTTTTCAAATCAAGCTTAGAAACTTCTTCCGCCGATTTCTCGGCATTGGTAGGTTTTTTCTGGGTGGGAGTACCACCATCATCCTTGACATCATCCTGGCTCTCCGCCAGTCTAGAAAACATATTGGAAATCTCCATCGCCTCCATCTCAATCTCTCGAAAACGCGGAGCTCGCGCGCCGCGTGGTCGCACGGCCGAGAGAGAGAGAGAGAGAGAGAGAGAGAGAGAGAGAAGGAATCTTAGAAAAAAAAAAGAACTGCGATGCTAGCTCTGTGTGTTTTGCTTTGTTGTTTGATTTTCTCTTTGGACAATTTTCTTTAGTTAATTTATGTAAAATAATGAATTAAACAGGATTGTATATAGCCGAACTGCTGAGATGCAGTGAAAGTTGTTGACGCAAATATCCCTGAGTTTGGGATATCGCGTTTAATGATGTTAATAAATTTTAAAAATGTTGATAATAAATGTTGCGATTTGGATTGACAGTCAGTAATACAGTCACCGAATGTATACCTGGGGTAGGTTATTTATGGAATACAACATATATATACAGAGTAGTAACAACTCTGGATAAACTCCATTATTAAAAAATACTACCACTTTTATTTTGTCATTGTTTAAATCAATAATAGTTTTTGATTGAGTTGGCTCACTCATTGATATATTAATATTATGAGTTATATGTAAATAATTGTATATACGATGTTATATGTAATCAGAAACTTATATCATTTTATCAACAGCCATTTCGTGCCACTTCTACACGTTGCCAGATTTGATCTGCCATAGCTACAGGTGCAGAGGCATTTGCTTCGGGAATATTGGCCAACATTTTCGATTATCGACTTTCTGCTCGATAATTAATATTTGAGAAACAAACTTGTAACATCGTCTTTTAAAGCTCAGATCATCATGTATATTGGAATGACATATCCTAAATGAAACTCTGGTTTCTTCAGACACCTTTTTGATTAATATAAAGCAATAACGCGCCATCCCTATATAGGAAATGAAACACTAAAGCACGAGTGTTACCATACATATAAAACAAACTTCTACTCTCCCTCAGTAAGAACAGTAGAAGTTTGTTTATATATAATATGTGTCTTAGTTTTGTTCATTTCCTTGATTATTATTTTTCGATATGGAAACATCAGGTCTTTATATTTTTGAAATTATCAGGAACATTCATCATTTTAGGTCGTTCACCCCATGTGAAATTTTCCACTTAAGTTCAACACGCCATCTTTATTCTTTTGAATATATATTAAAATATTAAATTTTATAGAATAAGGGTGTAAAATTTTGAATATTAACAATAACTCCTATTTTATATTTACAATTATTTGTACTATGTGTTAAATTATTTTTTATATAAAAATAAAATTAAAATAACAAATTATATATAAAAGAAATGCTGAACTAAAATTTTTTATCGAAAACACAAAGTGCATAAAATGTTTGCAAATTTGGTTAAATTAAAATATTAATAATTTAACTAATTTAACCAACTTTGCAAACATTTTATGCACTTGAGGTTTTCGATAAAAAAATTTCAGTTCAGCATTTCTTTTATATATTGTAGCGGATGTATGTAAGTTTTTCTTTTATAGCTATTTTTAATGTAAAGGAAATAAAAAATCAAGAATGTAGGTCTCGTTAGTTTTTATTTTTAACCAACGTCTCCTTTTTTACAAAGTCCTCATGTAAACAATGCTAAGTG